TGAGGTCTTCAGACAGCTCAATCATGTCGCACCTCCTCGAATGTGGCCACACAGCTTCAGAGAACTACTTCAAAGTCATTTATTCACTACCTGAACACTACACCTAAGGATTCCGCAAACTGCTCTTATCCATCGCCGAGGCTATCTACATTCACCATCTGAAGCCGGAATTATGTATACAAAAACGATTCATACGGCCGATACTACTACCTTGGCCAATGGGCACTGTTACTTAGTTATTTGGCTGTTATTTTACCTACTTAATTACTTTGGACTACTGAGCTTTGCGTATCCATGTGTAGTTAGTTTACTTGCCTTACCATCACTATCTCTGTCTCAAGTTATCGATTTTGATCATTCAAACAGTCCAGAAGTAAATCCCAGCCCGGATTGACGCTTACCCCACACAATCAGTGTTTTGTAAACGTTTGGGTCCGATGAGAGTTTACCGAAAAGAATTCTTTACCCTGAAATGATTTCTGATATTGATTCATATTAATGGAATGGGAATCTTTGCTTTGCTGAAGATCAGCATTGCCCGTGATTCATTAAATCGAAATTAATCACTTGGTTGTTTGACACTAAGAAGACCGCTCCGCACTCGTACCTAGAACACCCGAGATCGGTCAAATTGACAGCATAGCTGTACTTATTCATTTCAACTTTTTTCCGAATTTTTACTTACACATTAAAAACAAGGTGTAGACTTATTTGCATCTGAGAAATAATTGTATTAATGAGTAATGGTGGAGAGAGTTGAATGGTATGGGTAGAAGTTCGTCACATCTAGGCTCATTCAGACAGCCATCACACGCCCGGAAAAGCACTGTACGCGCGTCTCATCCTTTCGGGAATCGTCAGCAATGAGCGGCGCTATATCATATTTTACAACTTATTTACGATGGTTGTTGACGTCCCCCGTAGCTCAGTGATCTGAATCACGGATTGGCAACAGTCGAGTTTCGGGTTCGAGCCCTACCAGGGTCAAATGGAGTGCGTGTGATGGCTGTCTGAGTGAGTCTAGATGTGACGAATTTCTACCTGTACCTACTGTATTAAACTAACTTTTTGTGAGGTTGAAATTATTGTGCTTACTCATTTAGATTGACACTTGAAACAGGTTATATTTCTCTTACTTTGTCCACGTGAGCCACAAACTATTGTTTCGTACACAGATCACTTGTTCTTTGACTTGTTGCCTTTACCGTAACCAATCTGGCACTGCCGACGTTTGCTTGTTTTACTACTTTGTTTCTAACTCGTTGACACTTCCCTTCCATTAGCTCAAATAGTTTGTATTGTAAAGAAGTTGCCACGTTACATCGTAACCACTTCCAAAGAAGGGTGACCTAACCTTCAATAACACGCCATTTAGAGCACTTTCTCCATGTGGCTGAGGTTCGTCCTTTCCGATGCATGGAAATTCATTTACGAGATGTTCACTTCTGCAAGAACCCAAAACTTGACACCGAACCTGTCAGGTTTGTTGACCATGTTCTGAAAAAAAATCTGCGGGTTTTTGGTGAGGAACAATTGCTCATCGACGGTAAGTTTCTGCGCCGGCACATAGCCCTGTTGCGAGTTGCGAATAAATGCATTCCAGAATTCAGATATCAAAGGAAACTTGTCACTCTGCAGTTTTCCATTTCTACTAAATCCGCCTTCACTGTACACGTTGGCTAGAGATGGAAAAAGTCTCAGTAATGGTGCCGCAATACTCGAGAAAATCAAGAAAAAGATACAACAGAGGCACTCATGCTGAGCCACCAGTAACGAATGGACATCTTTCCGGAAACCTAACAACCAGCTATTGTGCTGCAAAAGTTGTTTTATGCGTAAAAAATCAGATGATCGTTGGAGGAGTTGGACCATGAAACTCAAACACAGACGCCACTGAGATCGGATCCTAGCCTTGTCAACAATTCACATATAAAAACGTGTGGAGCTCATTAGTTCCCTGGATCCGTTCTTGCCAATTACTTCCTGAAAAAGGCTATCCTGTTTATCGCACGGTAGCATATTCAATGACGTTATTTAAGCCCAATAAAAGCGCGCAGCTCATGAACACTTATGTTCCACTGTTAACTGGCACCTAACTCTCGGACTCAGCTTCAGTACATACCTGAATATGTTTCAACATCTGGGACATAATTATGATCTCAACAGCACCAGAGAGTTCACCGTATTTCACATATTTCTTGACGTAGGCATTTGGTCCCGGTCTTGCCTTGAAAACATTCTGTGCTGCCATACTGCCAAATGTAGTTGTTTGGAACTCCTTTAGAGTTCACGATGTACGTTGTTACGTGAACTTCAGTTGGTGGTCTGAGTGTTCGCTGAGCTCAGTAGCTTGGCTGCAAACGTTTCGTCACCACTCGAGGTGACATCTTCAGTGCGCGTGTATGTAACGGAGCGGCGCGGTACCAAGCGTCAGTGAGTGTGAGTGATCGATCTTCTAGCCGTCAGTCTGAGTTTGGATCGTTCGACTGGCACATGACCACCAAAATCGATCTCTGTTTCTTGCCTCGTAGCCTAAGCACACGTGCCTCTTCGGTCGACGTCCTCCTTTGACGCATTTGTCCGTCCTTCGGTTCCGTTAGATTTAGTTGACTAATTCGGAGATCTTTCATGCATAATACTGCATCAATTGCACCTATTTTAACGCGTCGGTTTATTGAATTGTCTGTAGAGTAGCATGCTTTCAAGGATTCTCTAGCATACCTCGAATTTCCACGGGCTAGGATCTTTACGTTCCCTAGATCCAAGTGGTGGCCTTCTTGGTCTCCATGCATGGAAACCAGTGAATGCGGGTCCTGTATCCGTGTGGAAATTTTGCTAGCTTCTATGGACTGCCAAAGGCACACAAAGAAGGAGCCCTGTTGCGTCCAATCATCGTCTTACCAGGAACCCCATTGTACTAATTGGCGAAGTGCACGTGGAAATATTTAAAGCATCTAACTGCCGGATCTAAACATAGCATCATCAATGCTGAGCACTTCCTCAACAAAGTGAGGGGTGTTATGATAGAGGAAGATGAACTCATGCTGTCATTTGACGTCACCGCACTGTTCACGTCGATTGACCACGAACTTGCAAAAGAAACCATGATGGAATTACTTCGAAATCAACGGAACACAATAGGAAACTTCAAGCCGGAGAGCGTGTGGGACGCCTGAATCTCTGTGTGACCACTTTTACTTTGATTGGCAAGTATACCAGCAACTGAAAAGAACGCCCATGGGATCGCCCATCTCAGGACTTATTGCAGAAGCTGTGATGCAAAAACTGGAGAGTATCACAATACCGTTAATCGAACCGAAATTATGGATCCGGTACGTAGACGACATGTTTGTCATCATCAAACCAGATTCCATACAAAATACCCACGAGTTAATCAACAACAGATTCCAGGATATCAATTTTACCATTGAACTTGAAAAGGACAACCAATTAGCATTTTTAAATGTATTGGTCCACTGAAACATTGACGGAAAGCTTCAAAAATGTGTATCTCGAAAGAAGACTCGCACAGACCAACTCTTAAACTACCACTGCAACCATCCACTGAACCACAAGAAAAGCTGCATTCAAAGCCGTTTCAGAAGAGCCGAAACACACTGTAGCACGACAGAATTGAGGAAGAAGGAAGCGAACCATCTATACCGGGTATTGCAAAACAACGGGTGTCCAAGAAATTTCATCAGAAGAAGCCTAAAGAAAAGATTGCCTCAACGACAGCGGGAGCAGGTAGATAAATGGGTAGCGCTTCCTTACCTCAAGGACGTTTCTGAACTAACCTCGAGATTGTTACTACCACATGGAATCTTGGTAGCCCACAAACCAACTGATACTTTGAGAGGATTACTTTCAAAGTCGAATGACAGAGTCAAACAAGGCAATCAGAGTGATGTCATCTACAAAATAAACTGCAGTGTGTGACAGACCCTTCATCGGACAAACTGGAAGGAAATTTTCAACACGGATCAGCGGACACAAAATGGCCATACGGTGACACGATCCGCATTCACTGATTTCCATGCATGAAGACCAAGAAGGCCACCACTTGGATCTAGGGAACGTAAAGATCCTAGCCCGTGGAAATTCGAGGTATGCTAGAGAATTCTTGAAAGCATGCTACTCTACAGACAATTCAATAAACCGACGCGTTAAAATAGATGCAATTGATGCAGTATTATGCATGAAAGATCTCCGAATTAGTCAACTAAATCTAACGGAACAGAAAGACGGCGTCAACCGAAGAGGCACGTGTGCTTATGCTACGAGACACGAATCAGAGCTACAAATATTTGCTCCTATACGTGAACTTCAGTGGATGATGCCGAAATGGCGGATTCACTTCCATGATTTTTGCCGTCACCACTGCCTTCATGGTGAGTGTCACCGTCAGAACTTTGACTAGCAGATGGATGGTGCAACCATCATCAACATCATATTCATTCTCATCTCTAGACTCGTTATAATCGATAGTCGTAAATTCTCGTGAGACCTCATCAGCTGTTCTCCTACGAGCCATTGTGAATAAAGGTGGCATCTGAACAGGATAACAAAAACCGACCGGCTACGGACTTTCTATGTAGCAAGAACACAATTATTTCTTTCGATAACTACGACAATTGTAAGTGGAACTTCACAGTTGTAATCAAAATACAGCTATAGAAACTATGCACATATAACAACACAGATAAAATGACCTCTCCGGGCGTTCTAGTGATTAAGTAACCAAAACGTTCAGTTACTTGATTGCAGTGATGCGCTGATATGTTTACCCATGTTGCTTTGAGCCCACACCGTTTGTCTTTGTAGCACCAACGTTTAGCACAACAATCGCGAACAGGTCATCGTTACGATAATTTTTCCGTTATCCTAATTAGAATCGATTAATCTCACATCCCATGTATGCTCGGCCCACATCATTAAACATGTCTTCATTTGTCATATTTTCTATCATGTACCTGCTTGTTTCATTATTTCCGTCGCAGAAGAATCGCCGATTTGCAGCGGTTAGAGGACTATGATGAAGATCGCGAAGATGAGTTCTCGCAGGAACCGTCGTCTGCTTCGCAGCTTCCTCCTGCTTCCGATGCCTCTAGTTCCCGACTCACTGGAAACGCCGTCAATAAGCAGCATTCCCCTTTGAAGCTGACCATTTCTCTGGTACCCACATCGAATAAGTCAAATTCAACAAAACACGTGATCCGCGCGGTTAACGGTGCTCTCGTCTCAGACTGTAAACGAGCCCACGCAGAAAACGGGAAAAACTCCAAGTCAGCTTCTTCTACTGTCAGAATGTGCTCCTTACCGAAAGCCCAATCCGCCTCGCTCAAGACGCCCAATCCCGAAATTATCCTGAAAGAAGCCAAGGTTGCGCTATCCAATCACGACATAAATTACACTCTTCCACGCAATTAGACTTTTTTGAACCATTTGTGATATAACGACGATCTATTTGAGTTGCTATAATTTGGTCTTGTAGGGTTTTAGTGGTTACATTTTTCAACAAGTCTGTGCTCTGTTCGCGCTACCGCAAACACCATTGCCATGTAAATAGTCTTTATTGCTGCTTCTCTCTTCAGTTGACCAACTAGACAGCGAACTCAACAGATGGCTCCTGACCACAACAACAAGTAACAAGTTGTCTGTATTAAAACGAAGCAGTTTCGCGCAACTCTTACTTCGGAACTCCATCATGTTGTTCACAAAAAAAGAGTAGACTGAGGTCGCAATCTGCTAGCGAAAGTCGCAGTCAGTTCTAACATTTTCAGTGCTTGTTTGTGCTTCATTCAAAAAGTAGCCTAAAAATCACCTACACATCATTGCGAGAAACACCGAAACTCTCCATCTCAGATGCAGTTTCAGTGACCGGAATGACAGAGGTTTACCTCGAAGTAAACCGTGGTCCATTCCGATCATACAGCTGGTACTCCAAAGCCCAACAACGAACATCCGTTCGCTGTGTCAAGTGTTGCTCACAGAGCTAAATCGCCTAGTAACAATTGCATCGGCCATGAATCATTATGTGCCGGGCTCCACTCTGTTCAGTCTATTTCTACCTGATGAGTCCAAGCATGGGCGAAGCAGGTGGTGGGGGTCAGCATTGAAAAGAAGCAGCCACTTCGGATGCGGTTCTTATTACCGTAATCTCTGGTCCATAGCAAACATTTTGTTTCGCAATTCAAACAAATATTGTGTATTCCGGGACACATGAATGACAGAATTGAAAATTTCTTCTAGTCATGTAACATTTATCTATCGATAAGAGACAGCGACTTTGTACAATAAAGCACCAAGAACAATGAATGGTATGCATGAATTGGCGAGACGAGATGACTGATCAGGGCGATCTCGCGCGAATGAATAGCTCATGGTCATTTAACTCTCGTACTCTCACCCGGGTACGCGTTTTGGTGATTTGGAAAACAAGCAGTTTGCCATTGCACTCCAAAGGAGTTGTGCTCGTTTTCACGCCTTGCAACAATCAACTTTGTGCCATTCCGACGAAACTACTTGGGACCTATCTCTTAGTTCTTCAATTTCGAGATTATAGTGGGCATGTTAGTAGCATTCTGTCACTTAATGGCAAAACGCGTCTGGCGCTTTTCCGGACTAGGCTCTGCCATGTAGCTTGTGAACTATTGGGATGAAAGCCTTATCAGAATTACTTAATGTACTCTGTCAAAACTTGGCAGCTAAACTCATCAGAGCTATCAATTCCGGGATAAGCTCTGAAACCACAGACTGAGAATTACGCCGACTATATTGGCCCATTGACGAGCCAATATTGGCGTTTGTGGATCTAACACGTTGAATTGGTCTCGGGATAATCGCATCCAGTCAATTCAAGTATGAAAAGCGGTGCTTGAACTAAGGTTAACAGTCTGTCGAAATAGTGTCTTCGCTGCTGCGATGTTGACGTCTAGCAACGGCTGTGCTTCAAGCCTGACAATAGTCAGAGGCGGCCTTTCAACCTCACGCAATGACGAACCAGACCTAGGACTATGACTCGGTTGGTCCAGGATCATTGTACATCAAGATTTCTGATGTAAATCGTAAGCATTATCCTTGCGTTTCATCAGCAGCAGCATTGCGATATCCGACGCCGGGAGCACATGTGAATCGGCCAGTCCGTTCTTAGAGGTAAAAGGCACCAACATTACCCCGGTACACCGTACCGCCGCTCCGTTGCCACGCATCGTCATCATCATCAGTATACACGTTAGCTACAGGTGGGAAGCGCCTTAGCTTCTTTGTCGCAATACATAAAAGAAAAAAACGGGAAAAGAAATGCAAGCCAGGTGAGCCACCGGTGACGGATGTGTATCGTTCCCGTAAGCTACCAGCTGGCTAATATGCTGCAAAAATTTTACTATGCAAAATGATATAATGCTAAGTAGTGAGATCGTGGTTGGAGGGGAGGCTAAGAGGGATGGGGTGGGACAATGAAGCTCACAGTACAAACACCATTGAGGTTGTTTCGTGGCGATGTCAGCAAGTGTATCCAGCCCAACGTGTTCAACGTCTTTCGGACGCCAACCGGGGAGCCGAGCCCAGCTTCCAATTGAACTCCTTTCTTCTGGACAAAGTCATCGCTTGGCTACCCCTCTCCTTCTTCCATCCACACACTCGGCGTGCAAACAACGTACGTCGCGGGAGTCAGTAGGCCGGCATGAGTAACACTTGACCGAACCATCGCAGCCTGGTGCGTGAAATAACGGTGCTGAGCGGTTCATTTTCTTTTCCTGTGCCCTAAACAACGCGTCGAACACGCTTGTTGCTCACTCTGTGTTCCCACCAGATGTGAGCTAAATTGCGAAGGCGCCGGTGGTCGAGCGTAACTCACCCCTTTATGTCGGCTTATCTAAGGCATCAGGTTTCATAACCGCTCAGTAGGGTCGAACGTACTGCTGCATTGTACGCTACTCTTCAGGGTGAGAGTAAAGTCGCGCCGGCGCCATAAGTGGCGAAGGTTAACAAAAGCACCTCGAGCTTTTGATGTACGTTTCGTTATCTCATTTTCTATCCCACGGGTGCTGATACAACTTCCCAGGTAGTTGAATTTCTGAACGACTTCTACCTGATCCCCACCAAGGGTCAGCACATGAGGCGGTCCAGACCAATGTTGAAGGAACACTTTACACTTCGAGGGTGCGAAGCAAAGTCCGAAGTGACGAACAGCCAGTGTTAATCTGTCCATTGCAGCTTGGCACCTTTGTGAGTTTTCACAGATGAAAATATCGTCAGCATACTCCAAGTCATGAAGTTGTTCTCCTGGGAGCAGATACACACCTCTAAGTCGTATCTTGTGAACGCGATTTTCATGACTTCGTCAATAGTGAAGTTGAACAGGAAAAGTGACAGCGGCATCCTTGTCTCACACCGCTAAAGATATTGAATTGGGGCGACAGCTTGCTGTAAGCCTTTACTTTGCCTTCCTACGCGCGTATAATGCTCGGATAATATTCACATATTTCTCAGGCACATCTTTCCTGACTAAACAGTCCCATAGGTCACGTCTATCCACCGAATTGAATGCACCTTTGATATCGAGGAACCAGAAGACGGTGGGCCGCCAATATATGTGACGGTGCTCCAACAACTGACGCAAAGTGAAGATGTGGTCAATGCAGCCATGACCTCGACGAAACCCGGCTTGCTCTTCACGAATCTGGCTTTCACGTGAGCCGGTCAGTCTGTAAAGGATGACAGAGGCAAGCAATTTGGAGGCGATGGAGATTAGACTGATTCCTCTATGATTGCTGCATAGGTGGCACCAAAGCGAATCGGGAGCGCGGATTTCCGGGTGATCGATAACTTCACATCGGGGGTTTGTGTTATAATTATCACACCACCTCTCCCGGTTCTATCGTCCCGAAGCAGCGACATACTGGGTATGTTGATCTCAGAATCTCAAGGTTTAACCAGGTCTCTAATGATGACGAGGTTGCGCGGCATGTGGCTCTCTAAGTTCGGCTAACTTACTTAGAAGGCCTTGGGCGTTTGTGTACATGCAAGAGAGGGCTTTTATTGTTAGGAGTGCGTTAATGGATGTCAACTTTGTGTTAGTTTCTAAGCCGGCCGTTAGCTGGCCGGCCATTAATCGTTTTTTGGATTATGAATTTCAGTCAAGCTGCATGGCATTATTGAGCGTTCCTGAGCAGACATTTCACTTGTGCTGTGCTCTGTCCTGTTGTGTGCCGTGGGTGTTGTGTCGGTCTCTCCGCAGGACTGTGCAGATAAGGTTTGCAGCGTTTGCAAGTTCCATCGAATTGCTTACGTCTTTTGGCCGTTTGCCTGCTGTCTTTAGCCCGATCTCTGTTGGCAACCTGGCTCGAAACTAACCAGATTTCCAACAGAAATTGCGTCATTCCCTCGGAGTGTAATATTACTTTCATTAGTCTTGGACCACAGCCCTTGTAGTTAGGTGATGACGGAACTTTTGTCAGGGATTTCGCAATAACATTGTCAACAGAGAGTGCTTCGCGGATGTAGCACCACTGCTCTCGGTCATGTGTTTGCGCATCGTGGTCAGAAGAATACAGAAGCTCGGGAACACCATGAACAAATACTGTTTTCCTGCTTTCGCTATTAGGAATGCCGCGTTGGTCACCTGCTTCTTTTGGCGATCTTTTCAAAGTAGATCAGGTAGTATGCGCACTGCGCTCAGTGAGTTGTCAAGACGAACTGCTGAGAGCAGGACAGCCTCTGCCGCATCTGCTGAATCTAGTGTTACTCGAAGAATTCGAGGTTCACCAGAGTACACTGAGGTCGGGTGACGCGTTGCAGCATAGCAGGCTCAACTCGAGTACGAATCGCATCGCAATTGGAACTCCACTGGTTGCGATCGTCTTGCAACTTGCCTTTTATTGTGCCAGATTTGGACTCGGGCACATTGTTGCACAAGAGAGTTAACGCAGCGTGGTTTTGTTTAGCGAATATTGGCTTTATAGCTTTTGCCGACAATTTGGGCTGTTTAGAAGGCACCACTGGACTTGACGGTGAAAGCTGCGTTACTCCACGTGTGCTCGGTATAGAATAGCGATCTACGTGTGTCGCTCCTGGTGAGTTTGTTGTGGCAATCGATGCGTACGTTGCCTGCTTGTTATCTGCACCGGAATTTCTTCGGCTCTGAGCTGTCGGTGTCATGGCTGAATCTCTAGGGGGAGCGTCTATGGTTGGAGAAGTGGAAGCAGACATGTTTGATGTTTGTTCATTTATGAGAGTGAGGTGACCCAGTGGAATTATAGTCACAGACGCTGCAGCGCGGTTGGAGCGTCTAGCTCTTTTCTTAGATTCATAGCTTACTTTGACTGGTTGAGGTATTAGTGTGGCCATATTTGCCTCCGTGGGATCGATCTTAGTATTTACAAGATGCGCGATTATCTCAGTCATCCTATCGCACGTTTTCATGAGCAAAAGTAAACAGTTGACAACTGGAATGACTTTACATGCGGGACAAAATCGAATTGTGTCAGCAACTTTGTCTGTCTCACTTCTTGGACGGATTTGCCTACACATTGCGGACAGTATAATCTAATGCAGCTAGAACAGGTTATTCCGATCTTTAGGACTTTACTGCAATTCTCTGCGCAACATAGACGACGTTAAGCTATTGGAATAATTCCACTGATAATGTGGTGACGATGAGTAATGGGGCACCGAACTAGGGATGACCACAGATGGTGTTGATATGGTGTAAAGATTCCACAATAACAAGATGGAATGGAGCAACTGGATGTACACTACAACAGGGGTAGCAAGAGGACAGAGATACTGACGCACCGTGTATGACTTCGCTTCAGTTTTCGTTGCGTGGCAATCGACGCTGGTTTGAGGTCAGGGGGATCAGACGTGTCACGTCCAGATGAATCACATGTTCCTTAGAGGAAGCGATCTTAAAATCCTAAAAATGGTGGCTCAGTCAAAGCAAACGGCAACGGATGTTTTGGATTGATGGCTGAGAAAACAGAAAAGCCTTCCTTCTGAACTTTGGTTAAAGGCCGCAGGAGCTTTAAAAAGTTTAGATATCCAAGCATCTGAAGCAGCAAACTTACCGACGTAGGTCTAAAGGGGGATAGGGACGCACGTTGGTCGAATCAAGTTGCAGACATGGCATGTAGGAAATCGTTTAATAAGTATACCAAACCAGGTTCATCACACAAAGAGACCTTGATTCGCTTCAGCGTCTGACGGCGGTAGATCGCAAGCTATGCCGCGGTATGCGCAGGTATACTCCCACAATGGATCAGTCAGGCATCAGAGCACACAATCACAACAAACCGGTAGTAACCGAGGGGGGAGCACGTGAAGACGAGCTTGCACCAGTCGTTTTGCATACAGCTAATTAAAACAAAACCGTACATGAACCGCAGCGAAATGTGAAAGCGCAAAAATAAAAATAAGCAAATCGTTTACAATCGCTACATTACCCCCTCCCCTAAAGTGTGCGCTAGTAAAAAACGCTCGCCAAGATACCTATGGAACGTATTGGGCAAACTTGGGCGGAAGAGAAACAGTCCGACCGGGAGCTGCTCGTGGTCGCAGGGCACAAGGGATTCGATGTACTGGCGTCTGTAGGTTGTTGGGTAGGGGATAATGAGTCAGGGACAATGATTTATGTCGGGTAAAAAGCAGTTGCTTGACAAGTCCCGCAGGATGGTGGGGGTTAAACTACAATTATCAAACGATAGGTGAGTTGTCTGTTTGAGCGTTTATCCAACAGATACGCTGCTGAATAATAGTAGTGTAAGTGGGAATTGAATGTGAACGACGTGGCAACATGGGGGCAGTTATAGTTGATGTATTACATGTGAAAAGTAAAAACAAGAATACTCACTTCTGTCCCGCATCCTCAGGTTTACGTAACATGCTAATCCGGTTTGGAGGGATAATTAATATATTCCAAAGTTGCACAGTTTAGGCAACGAAGTGATGGGGGCCAAGGGCAAGATCCAATCGTTTTTTGCAAATATCCAAGGTGGGGGAGGAAACAACAAAGTTTGGGAGAGAGTTCCAAGGTTGGCAAACCCGAAGAGAAAAATAATGCCGCCGGAATTCCAGGCGGCTAAACTGTGCACACAATTCCAGTGGGTTACCTCTGAGATTGGTGTTATGGCTGAATTTCAGCAAGTGACGGCATACGTGATTAGGGTCACTCAGTATTTAGTAGACTAATATGAGATCGCCGAGCAGCCTTCGGTAGCGGCCACTGAAAACTCCAAGTGACTTCAACCTTTGATGATAGGACAGATTTCGTAGACCTTTGACGTTCTTTGTGACCCTGTGTTGGGGTTTCTAGTACTTCTAAGTCGTGCTTCAACTAAGGTTGCTATGCTTGGATGGCGTATTCAACGTGCGGGCGCACGTAAGAATTGTGCAGCATGGGGAAGATGGATGGGTCGAATCTTCCGAATGCTCTCCGCAGCAAGTCGACGTGCTGATTTGCTCTCTTCGCAGCTGCCTTTGACTGTTCTGTACAGTTAATGTCACTTTGAATGAGCACACCAAGGTCGCGTTCTCGGGAAGTGGTTTGCAATACATGTAACCCAAGCCCATACATGTAGTCAGGCCTATGGCGCAATTGAACAGCGTGACATTTTTCACATTGAACGGTAGGGTATTCAAAACTGCCCAGGTTGAAAGCGTATTGAGGACACGCTGGAGCTTCTCGTGGTCGTTCGGTTCTTTGTTCGCTTTCCCTACCTTGATATCATCCACAAAGAGTAGAAATCGTAAGTAATTTTCCTCGCCAGATCGTTTATGAAAATCAGGGATACATGGGGCCCGAGCACCGTGCCTTGTGGTACGCCCCACTCCACTCCAATTGCGTCGAACAGGGATTTTCGTACTTGCACTTCCAACGGAAGTTCGCGCAGGGACTTGCCTATTCCAACGTAGCAGTGGGTCACAACACCCATAGAGCTAAATCTTATAGAGGAGAATTCGGTGGTCTAAGCGGTCAAACGCATTTGAAAAGTCCAAGTAAATGACATCAACTCCTGCTCCACCATCAACTGCTTCAGTCCAGCTGTTGCTTGCAATTAACAAGTTCGTAGTACATGAACGCTTTTGTTGGAAGCCATGTTGCTCTGGTGCTATCATCTTGTGATTTTCCGAATACTGCATGAGTGCATCAGCGATGATAGACTCCATAACATTGGAACGCACAGGGAGCAACGTTGTAGGACGGTAATTGGTTGTATCCGTGCGACTACCTCCCTTATGAATAGCAGTGATTACCCCACGCTTCCACATTGTTGGAATGTGGTTCACCTCCATACAGTGCTGATAGAATATAGTCAGAGGTTCCGCCAGATCACTGACTGCTGCTTGTAAAGCCTTCGGTCGAATGTTACGACACCAGAAGAGCTGTGAATACGCAGGAACAACAGTTTTCTTTGACACACTTACTGCAGTAAAAGTAATATTGAATAAAGCGGATGGTGGGACAAGAGAAACAGGGATAACCGTTGGACCTGTTACTCTCTGGAACGTTTGTGAGTAATGGAACCGGAAGAGATCGGTTGCTTCCGTTGCTGATCGCGTGCATCCGTCAGTACTGATCAGTACTGGAATTCCACGTTTCACCTTACGAACTCCACTAACATGCCTGTATAAAAGTTTGCGGTTCGTGCAGAATATCTTCATTAACTCCTGCTGATGCGTGAACTTGTCTTCGCGGATCAGTTTTTAAACCAGAATAATTAACTAAACCTCATTAAATAAGTGCCACTAAGTGCTGGTTAGGTGGTAAAGAGCAAACTTCGTCAAACAGGTCATTTATTTAAAGTATCCCCACTTATTCGAAAGCTAACCGAGGTAACACCTACCGTTTTGCAAGTAATATAAATGATTTACCGATCATCTTCATTTGAATACGGCTTCTAGTCAAGCTAGTTGCAGCTGTACTAAGTGACCTAAACAGTCTCACTTACTGCAACGTTTCCGTTAGTTGGCCGCAGCACTTACCCTCGATGACGAACACGAAAGGCTATCGCAGAGGTACTAGACACTTGTTCTCTCGCCGTTTCAAGCGCCATGGACCGTTGCCTTCCTCTGTGTATATGCGGGTTTACAGGCGGGGTGATATAGTCGATATAAAAGGAGATGGTGGTGTGCAAAAGGGCATGCCCCATAAATGCTATCACGGACGAACCGGGCGTGTGTACAATGTCACGCCGCATGCTCTTGGTATTATCGTCAATAAACGCGTCGGGTAAGCTTTGTCTTACTAATGATTGTCAGTAAACGAATTATCCCGAAACGTATCAATGTTCGCATCGAACACGTGAAGCCCAGCAAGTGTCGTGAGGATTTTCTTCGCCGAGTAAAAGAAAATGATGTAAAGAGGAAAGAAGCCCGAGAGTCTAACACTTTCGTTTCTCTCAAAAGGCTGGTAAGGTTGCCTGTTGCGTGTCAATATTACTTCAGCCTGCTCAACCACGCCCTGCTCATTTGGTGAAGACCAAGAACAACAAAGTCGTCACAGTGCATCCCTTGCCTTATGAGTTAATCGCATGATTGTTAATAAAGATAAAGCTTGCTTGATTATTCAGCCTTTTTTGGTCATAATGGCGTTTGGGATCTATGTATTACCTCATGGCTTACTCCCATTGTTCCTTTGCCCCGTTGATTCCCAACGCTTTACTACGAAGTTACCCATTGCCGTCTCACATTACGCAGTACGTTACGATCTGTCATGAAGACTTGAGCCCGCAAGGCAGCGGGACGATAAACGGAGACCGTTGATATCCGCGTAGCTCATTCGCCTTCTTTGTGCTCGGTAGCAATCTACAGCGAAGGCGGTGACTAGCAAGCTTGTTCCTTCGCCCTTCGTTAGCTAGTCATGGTTATTTGATGGAGAACCAGGTAACCAGCCCAGAACTCCCCACGCTTTGAGACGCTGCTGCTGATTGTCCGCCACTGCTTATTCATCTTGCCTGCAAGGCAAACGAGACTTATTGGCAGTTGCCTCCATAAGGATGACATCCTCCGATCCGGAACCTGGGGACGCGCCCAAAGCTTACAGTTCCGCCATGGGTACTGGTTATAGGAGCTCCTTACTTTTGTCTGACCCATTCACGTCCAGGAGCAGAAGCATTTTGGGTATGAAGTGGCTTACTGTGCAACCTCATGAAGCCACCTGGGATCTTCAGGATCATGCTTTTTCAGCAAATGGTTCACCGGCAGTGTTCCAGGGCGTGGTGGATTTTCAACTGACCTGCGTTCCCCCTAGAAAAAGCCACATAACACCGCGGCGTCGCGTTCTGTCCTTATGTGGTAGGTACCAATCTACGTTTATATGCAGACATTTGTCATTCGCTTGACCATGCCGCTCCTTTCGGTCTCGCCCATTCGGTTTTCTCCTTATCGCTAAATTGAGATTTTTGAGCGTGCCCTTATTAAGGATTTTTCAAAGGACACTCGGAAGTGTTAACAACTGCCGTGCAACAAATCTGAATTTATCAAATTTCGCTTGGTCCAGATAACTTTGAATTATCGTTTTCCCCGGATTACGTCGTGCCGTCCTCGAGTACTTACTTCTCTACTGTACCAAACGTCGTCCATCTTCTTTGGGTTCAGCCTCTGGTTGTATTTCTGGTACTTTTGTGTTTCGTAACCCGTTTAGCATCTTGTTCTAACCCGTAACTGTTTCTCTCGATTGCCCTGCACCTCGTGGGTTTTAAGTCTTGATACTTGGTTCTCACTATATTTGAAAGCGTCATATCGGAATCAATCAATACCGGCGCTGTGTCTACGGCTGCATTAATCTACGAATTTAATGTTGTATGCGGCAGTATGAGCTGCTCAAAACCCGTGACGGACGAATCTGCTGGCATGTGGTGCTATGTATGCAACCGTTGGTACCATGAGCTCTGCTCAGTACGCATTGCTCTCGACTAGAGATACCATGCTATTCAATTGTCTTTTTTGCCGTAGCCGTCGATCTACACGCATTGAGGTCACTGAGGAAACATCGAAAAGCCCCGGGCTGGCTAACCAGTAGATGTGGCCTTTCCTCACATTTTGATCGTAAAGTTGAGTTAATAATGAGAAAAAAGAAGTCAATATTAATATCGGCTCATTGGAGGAAGTCACGCAACCAACCTCAACTGCTGTCGATGTGAATCCTACTGAGGTGACCGCTACCGTGTCATGTGCACCAGCTACCCAGAATGCCCGTAACGAGGCCTCTGATGTCGTATTGGATGTCGTCCAAGGCGAGACCGTCGCAACGAGACTAGACCTTAACGTGGTGCGACGGTTTGCGTACCTCATTGACCCATTGAGCTGTACTGAGTGGTGCCTTCGGGCACCTTGAGAGCTACTCCTACCAGGTTGGTCAGTAATGAGAGGCCAGACAAACTCTCTCCTGGTCCTCCAGATTGGGGGTTTGATTTGGGTGGCTTCCATTTCTGTAAAACTAAATCACTGCCACCTCCCCGCTGCCTTGCGGACAGGCTTTTGAGCCAAAGGCTTTGGATGAGGACCCTAATCGTCCTCCTGTCTAGGTCTGGGCGCCCTGGCAGTATCTCAACCCACATACAACCATGACCTTTTCTTCAAACACAAACTTCATCCCGCATCTGCCGTCGCGCAGACTATCAAGGGTCGCGTTATCTGCTGCATACAGCAGGGTGGATAAGCGAAAACATGCTACTGCTGGCGCCTCCTTTCTTTTCCACCTTTTTCTCTTACTCCCATCCCGATCCCCATTACTAACGTTCCTTCTATAATTGCCAGCTTAATTGACAGCAACCGAAGTGCTACTGAATTAGGACTATCTGTAGCCACCATCCCACCGCACCTATCGGACGCCTATTGGCAAAAGTCCGTTATAAGGCCACGCTATCTCGTTTCCTTGGCGACGTTCAACGATGGCATTCTAAGACAAACAGGTCAGCAGGATGCACTCGCACGCACCTTGGACACACTGGATATTGATGTTTGTTGTGTGTCCGAAGCTAGGATCAAGGACACTTACGGGGTTATTGAATTAACTGCACCCGGCTTATCCTCTCGTTATTGGTTGCACGCATCCGGAGACGCCGATGCGACACTCACTGGTCAAGCTGATGTAGGTATCATTCTCAGCTCCAAGGCTGAGCCATCGTTGGTTGATTGGATTCCGGTGAACAGCCGTTTATCTGCAGTGCGTTTGACGACGTCAGCTAAGGTTGATTCACGAAGTAGTACAAAATGCTGTTTGTTCGTGATTTCCGCTTATTCTCCCACCGACTGCTGTTCTAATGCTGTCAAGGACACATTCTATCACGAACTGAACCCGCTACTACGCAGTGCTGCTAGTTCAGATGTTATAGTACTTTCAGGGTATATGGACGCACAAGTAGGGCGTCTGAGCTCTTCAGAAGCTCAGCTGAGTGGTAAATGTGGGCTTAACTCCGAACGGACTGACAACGGTGAGCATCTGCTGCAACTATGTGCGGAGAACCAGTTGTTTCTTACTAGCACTGTATTTAGACACAGTGGGCTCCGAAGTGCCACTTGGCGTCCTCCTGTAGCTGGCCAGTGATGGACCCAAATTGACCACATAGCCATAAGTTACAGATGGCGTGGTTCCATCCTGGATTTCCGTTCGTACTGGAGTCCCTGTGTCGACTCTGCTCATGCCTTGGTACGCTGTCGTTTCTCCATGAACTTTACCAGGAGGCGCACCAAGCGTCCCCTACGATTGGCAACGGAGAAATTGTCTCAGCCTCGGTCAGGCAGGTCTATCAAGAAGCACAGTATACCGAAATTCCGCAGTTTTGTCCTATTGACGCTGAGCTTCAGTGGAATAGAATGTCGACCGCCGTGCACGACGCAGGAGAATGTGCTTGTGGCACTATCAATCGTCACCGCACCAGTCACTGGATATCCGAGAGGTCGGTGAACCTGTTGGAATCCAGAAGACACCTCCCGACTGGCGCTGAACACAATGTGACCAGGCGGGCTATTAGGCGTGAACTAAAGCAGAGCCTGCATGCTGACAAGGAGGCCTGGTGGACCAGTAGGGCTCCAGCAATGGAGGAGGTAGGAGCAGTAGGCAATTACCGCAGGCTCTTCCAGCTTATCCGCACCACTGGCCCCAGGAAACCAGGCGTCGGTGAGACAGTAAGAGACAGAGCAGGTGCGCTGATTCACAATAAGGAGCGCCGTATGGCTCGTTGGGCGGAACACTTTGAAGATCAGTTCAGCTGGTCCCCTGCTCCCGGACCTCTTCCTACTCAGGTGTTGCAGGACGAGCCATGGACGGTTAGTTTAGAGCCTGCGTCGGAGGCCGAAGTCCGAAACGCGATTGCAGCCCTCAATCGTTTTCGTGCCGCTGGCCCGGATTCCCTTCCACCTGCACTATTTAAGGATGGAGGTGATGTCCTCTGCAAAGCACAGACCTCCTTATTCGAATGTATCTCGAAGGAAGCGAGTGTCCCGGCTAATTGAAGCGAATCGATTATAGTGGCAATATACAAGAAGGGCAGTCACACAGACTGTTCTAACCACGGGGGTATTAGCCTAACGCCAGTTGTGACAGAATTATTGGCCTCGATTCTCGTTCGTCGGCACACTGCGGAACGGGAATCCCGGATTAGGGAAGAGCAGGCTGGTTTCCGCCCAGGACGTGGCTGTATAGACCATATATTTACTTTGCGGCAGGTGCTAGAGCAGCGCCACGCATACCACAGACCGACAATAGCTGTGTTCCTCGATTTCAAGAGTGCGTTCGATTCAGTCGATCGATTGATTCTGTTCGAAATACTTGCACGGAACGGTGTTCCCACGAAATATGTGAACATCCTTTGTGCTCCATACTCGAACACTACAGGCCGCGATAGGGTCTACGGTGTCCTATCGGATAGCTTTCCGACCACACGTGGCGTTCGTCAGGATTATCCGATTTCCCCATTTTTGTTCAATTTCGTCGTGGATTCTATCATGGAGTGTTCCTTTGCGGAATCTCACAATGTAGGCGTTGAAGTGCTGTCTGGTGAAAGGTTAGTTGATCTAGCTTATGCGGACGAAATCGTCTTGCTTCTCGACGATGTTGGGGCGGCACAATCAACCCTGAATAGCCTGTCCAGAGTGGTCCCATTATTTGGTATGCACTTCGCACCTTCAAAGTGCAAAGTGTTGCTGCAGGACCACCAACCACTCGATGACTCCTTGACGCTTGCTAACGAGGAACTCGAGGTGGTTGATCAATTCACTTATCTTGGCAATTGCGTCAGCAATGATGGGCGCATAGAAACTGACGTCAGCTCACGCATTGCAAAGGCCAGAGCTACCTTCTTGAACCTACGGCATCTTTGGCGACAGAAGGGAGTTTCCCTCCGTCTGAAAGGCCGTGTATACAAGACCACAGTGAGGGCCGTTCTGCTCTATGGTAGTGGAACTTGGGCCCTTCGGTCTGAAGATCTGAGGCGCCTTCAAGTCTTTGATCATCGTTGTCTGCGAAGCATTGCTGGAGTCGGATGGCACCAGCGTGTCCGCAACGATGATATGCGTAGGCGAGTACTAGGTAGTGATAATCATGCTAGCTCCCTAGAACAACA